ATTGTTTCCAAAATTAACAAATCATAATTTGATATGCAACATATCTGTATAGATATTAAATATTTTTGATTACTTAACAGGTGTATTTTTTGCGTTTTGAATCTTTAAAGTGGATTTTCTCAAAACTATAAATTTCAAGTTATCTAGTTGTTACACTAAGGAGACGATATATCTTCCTTCTTCATTAAAGATTTCGCACACATTCTTTCAACCCCACTGTGTACTATTTTTAATTTAATATTGAAAACAGCCATGTTTCCTGATCTATGGAAATCATCTCGCGTTATACCAGTTTATAAAAAAGCAACCAAAGATGATCTTGACAACTATAGACCTGTTAGCATACTTTGTAATTTCTTTAAATTATTTCAAATCATCATTCATACATACTTATCTAGACATAAATCGGGTTCATTATCGCAATACCAACACGGATTTATGAAGGGTAGGTCCACAGTGTTGAATCTTGTGTGCAAAACACAATTTTTGGCAGAGGCTTTAAATAGAATCGATGTTATTTATACCGACTTTTCTAAGGCATTCGATAGAATTGATCATAAACCCTATTACAAAAATTAAAGTCTAAGGGACTATCTGATCTTCTTCTTTTACTTATCGATTCTTACTAAGAAAATAGACATCAGTACGAGCAACACCAAGGATTTAGATCAAAACATTTTAAGCAAATTTCAGGTGTACCGCAGGGTTCGGTCCTTGGGCCCCTTCTTTTCATAGTTTTTATTGATAAAATTATTGGCAAGAGCACAGAAGTAAAATACTCAATGTATGCTGATGATTTAAAATTTTTTGGTGAAATACGGAACTTTGTTAATTGCACAGCTCTACAAAGTTGTTTAGCTGAATTATTGCTAGGGTGTATTAAAAATTATTTGCATTTTAATCCAGTTAAATGTAGTGCTATGACATATACTAGAAAAAAATTATATTTCACCTTTGATTATCAGATCAATGGCACTGTGTTAAGTAGTTTATAAAGGATCTGTGAGTCCATTTTGACAGGGAATTAACTTTTGCAAGGTATATTGAGCAGACAGTTATGTTGTGCTTTACGAAGTCTTGGTTTTGTAATTCGAAATTTTAAACAATTTAAAAATATACATACAATGAAGTTATTATATATTAGTTTTGTTAGATCTAGACTTGAGTATGCGTTAGATGTATGGAATCCATCACTTAACATTTATAGTAGTGCTATTGAAAATGTGCAAAGAAAATTTATAAAGTCCGCATCATATCTTCTAGACAATATCTATCCTGCTTAGATCCTACCTTAGACACTAGACAGTAGATGTTTATCCTGCTTGGTAAGTTGATACTATATCTTTTGTGTGTATTTATTTTATTTTAATTTAATTTTTTTATTTTTTAAATTTGTTTTATGCTCTTTTAAGAACTTAAATATAACAGAATATTTTACCTTCAGTTTTCCTTAAAAATAGGCTTTATTGTACTTCTTATTTGTTTCATGTTTAGTCATATCTGATATTCCTAACTCGTTTGTGATGTATATCATTAGTATATTGTATTTGTTTTTAATTTATGTTCATCCCACTCTGTAATTTGTTTTTAACTGTTGAGTGGTGTGCTAAATAAATAAATATTTTTTTTAATGAACCCTTAACTTCAGCTGTTTCGTTTTCGTTGGCCCACCCTGTGTACATATAAAACTATATAGGTTTTCTGGAGCGCTCGCCTGCATTCATGTGTATCAGTTTGTCAGTTTTAAAACAGTCCTCTAAAAATTACAAGTTTGATTTTGGTTATTAAAGTTATTTTACTTTATTTCTTCAGCAGTCATATTTTACAAAATAAAATGAGGGTGTAGATATGCATTTTGATAAAATTAAATAATTCATTTCTTCACCGTTGTATGATGCTCAAATACCAATTAACAATTTCTCTTCTATGTTTCTTTTTGTATTTATGACAAAAAATAAGGTTAGAAATAATGTAAATAACCGCCTAATTCTCCACAAATTACATCAGCACTGTTAGTGCCTACAGTTATATAAATTTGCAATATATCTCTAGTATCGGCCGTCGTTCTCATAGTTAGGCCGATAATAAATAAACAAGCTAAAATATTACCTAACCCCAACGTGCGACAGCGATGAAAGCAATGTTTTAACAATTTAACACCTTTCAAATTATCCTGTATTTTGTCCCGATTCCCATGTTTATATTTGCTAAAGTTTTACCAATAATCAATTTATGCCACTCTACAAATAGAGCAGATAGCAGATGATGATGATATATTGGAAGCCGAACCGAGTGTTAAAAGAACAAAATTGTAATTTAATCTGTTATTTTTTAACAAAATTAGTAGCTGACTTCACAAAATCCAAAATTAAAGGAGGGTGAAAATTAAAGGGCTGAACTACTTCAAACTCAAAACTATTAGCTGAACCGTCAGTCCTTCGTCATAAAATATAGTAAGGGTTAGTTATAAGGGCTGTAATTAGAGTTCAAAAATAGATTGGGTATGTAAAATTGAGCATAGCGTATATAATCAATTAGTAATTTTGTATTTTTTAATAACTTTTTATATAGAATCATAGTAAATTCATAGAAAAAATAAAAATAATGTTAACGCACTAAGTGCTCTTTTGGATTATAAAATATTATAAAGCTGAGCTATGTTTATGGAAAAATTAGCAAAAACTAATTTTTGTTTTGAAAAAATGTATGAAATTGGTGGAATTACTGTACATTACTTTTATACAGTGAGGGTGTATAGGCTGGAATAAACTCGATATTTTTTTAACAGTATTTTTACAAAATGCTTTCACAGAAGCTAACCCTGGCAGAACAGATAGAAGTTGTGTTTTGCATCGGTGCTAAAAAATTTCATAATTTTTATTAAACTACTGTAATTGTACAGTTTTAAACAATTTCATATTGACTATAGTAAACTGTAAGTCAGTTTTATATATTTTCCAGTAAAATTCTCCTGATTTTCAATATAAGACCTCAATAATAAGGCAAAGGAGCCTAATAAGAAGACCCTCCCTAATAAGAGACCCCATGCGATCTCACTTGTTTTGCAGTTTAGAAACACACTACCTAATTTTACAGTTACCCTATATTACGCGGTTTGCCAATGTGTCGCTAGGTGTCGCTTAGTTCGACGAAACAAACATCTGACAGATAAATTAGTGGAACGTGCATGAGGAAGTTTTTACAGTAGTTGGTGCAAAAAATTGTATTTTCAAAATGGTAAGCATGAGATTTTTTCCTAAAATTTGGTTAGATAGCTATTGTAATGCGAATTTAACTGTACTAGATTTATGTAGAAAAGTTTAAAATTATTTAACCTGAAAATATACTTTGTTTATCGTGTTACTGGTCCCTATTAAGAGACCCCTGTGGGTTCCTATTATGAAGAGGGTCTCTTATTAGGATCTGCCAACTTTTTCACAAAGTATTTAATTCAAATAATTTTCTCAGGCGGAATCATCTAAAAGACGAAAAACTTGCAATAAAGAACACATGGTGTTGGCAATTAAGGTAGTTAGGCAACACGATATGGGGTATAAGAAGACATCAAAGCATTTTGGTGTGCCAAAAGGCACCCTCGAACGCTATGTGAAACAAACTAACGTAACTCCAGAGGATGTGGTTAGTCGAAGCTCTGGCAGAAAACCTGCGTTAAATAAATAAATAGAGGCTGAATTAGTTCAGTATTGTCTTAATATGGATAACAGATTTTTTGGTTTGCGAAGGTCAGGTGTAAAACGTATGGCTTTCGAATTAGCAATAGCTAATAACATTCGACATCCATTTTCAAACAACAAAAGTACCGCAGGAAAAAAGTGGCTTAAAGGCTTTTTACGACGTCATCCTAAGTTGTCAATTAGATCATCTCAAGGTATGTCCAATGCCCAAATACGAGGTTTCAACAGAGAGAACGTTGCTGCATTTTTTGAGTTATATGAAAAGAAGTTAGAACTAATTAATTTTGAACCACAATTGTACAACGTTGATGAGACGCGAATTAGTGTAATGCAACATAAAAAAAGTAAAATTATTTCTGTTAGGGGAAAGAAACAAGTAGCAACACTGACCTCAGCAGAACGGGGTGGTTTAACTACAGTGGTTACATGCATGGATGCGGTAGGCACTTACATACCCCCTTTAATTGTCTGGCCTAGAAAAAACATGAAACACGAGTTAATGGGTGGCGCACCAGTCGGCTCCATATATGCTTGCCATTTATCAGGGTGAATACAGACACATATTTTTACTCAGTGGTTTGCTCATTTTATAAAGTTTACGAAGCCGACAGCGTCTCAGCCCGTGTTACTAGTGCTTGATGGTCACTACTCGCATACTCGCAACATCGAAGTAATAAATAAGGCAAGATACAACCATATTTCAATTGTTTGCCTACCACCTCATAGTACCCAGCGTATACTGCCGTTAGATGTGGGCTTTAGGAATCCGCTAAAAACTTACTACGCGCAAAAAATTGAGACTTGGTTGCAAAATCATCCTGATAGAATTGTAACTCCTTTTATCATCGCACGATTATTTTCTGGCGCTTACAACCGAGCAGCTACGATGGAGGTCTCGGTCAACTCTTTTAGAAAAACTGGTCTTTATCCCCTCAATATGCATATATTTCGTGATCATGACTTTTCCATTTTTGAAGAAAATGAAGAATCTCTAAATACAGCAAACATTTCATCTCAACCACAAACAGAAACTTTAAATAATTTAGATCAAGATTCTTCTTTAATAACGACAAAAGATGCTCTAGGAGTAAAACAATCCTGTCCAGGAACTTCATCGGATTCGTCTGAAGTTGAACAGGCCCTTCCAGGTTCCTCAACAGAACAACCTCGTCCAATTATTACTAATAATTTTGTTAAGTCCAGTTCAAATAAAATCTCTTCCAAAAATCTTGGCAAAGAAGCCCAGTGCACGAGCTGGAAGTGCAGCCTTAATCACCTCGTCTCCGTATAAAGATGAGCTAATAGCAAGTTTGGATAAGAAGGGAAAACGTAATTCTACTGACAGTGAAGTCAAGAAAGTCACCAAAAAAGTAAAATTTGATGAGACTACAAATCTTCCAAGCAGTAGCAAGACACTACAAAAAACAAAGAAAGAAAAATTTATTCAAACCACAAATCATCCAAACAGCAACAAGACAACACAAAAAAAGAAGAAACCAGTTGCTGATTCTTCAAGTGATGAAATCAATTTGGAAGTTCCTTACAACGACGACAGCGATGAAGAAGACAATGATGCAGATTGCCTGTTTTGTACGAACATGTATTCTGCGGACACACATGGTGAACAATGTGTATAAAATGTTACCGATGGGCGCACGAACATTGTGGTACAGAAGATGCAAACTTCATTTGTCCAATGTGTGAAAAGAGGAAATATTATTTAGCCTAAACCTTCTTACTGAGTATCCAAAATATATGTACGGTTACTAATAAGAGATAGGGGATCCCAATATGAAACCTCCCCAAATTGTCTTAACCAGAACCGATGTCAAAGACATCAAGAAACCCTTCTTTTAAATCAAAAAGACAATTTTATAATAACAGAAATTTCCAAATTTATAATTCAAGACCAAATTTTACTTTTGAAGAAATACATTCCAATTTTGGCAATTTAAATAACAACAATGAGTATTATCGTCATTGTAATTTTGAAAACTCTAGTCAAATTAAATTTGAAAATGAATCAATTAAAAAAGGTGACTTTGAACAAAATTTTCAGATACCGTCCGTATTTATTTAAAACAAAAAGATAGTAGAATTGCACAATATTTCAAACAATTCATTACCTTATATCGAAATACTGGAACCCATGCTAAAACTGTTAATTGATACAGGAAGTTATAGGTCATCAATAATAAAACCTTCAGTAGCAAAAAAATATTTTCCGCAAACAATTAATGACATTAATACTTGCGTTCCTAAGAACTGATAATACGTTAATAAATTTGTGAATTTTGGAATTTGATCAACATTATTAATTTTTGCAATACATTTTCCTATTTTTGAAAGAAATACTTTTGAATTTTATTATTTATTCCCAATTATCCAAAACCAAAAAATGTATACACCTTTATTCCCCTATTTCCCTTGAAGATATCTATTATTGCCAACAGAATTTTATCTCCAGAGATAATTGTACTCTCAAACTTCTTGAAGGAAAAACTTTGACAAATTGTCATATTTTAAATGTTAATTTAGAAGAATCAGTATTCAAACAAATCGCAGTCGATGAAGTCTTAATAATCCCGTCAAAGCCTGAACAAATTCTTTCAAAATATAACAGTAACCAGTATAGAGACATAAGGTCATCTTTATTAATGAAGAGAGTTGAAGTCATGGTATTGAGGATTAATGCCAAGTCAAGAAAAGACGACTTTATTATTTTAAGATATTATCTTAAGTCTGTAATTTTTATAAAAGACACACACGCATACCTAACTTCGTTGAAACATTTTATGTGTTTATATTAATATTTCGCTTGGATATCGGTGTTTTATTTTCTTTATTTAAAAACTCAACCCCAAAGAAATAGTTTGCAATATTAATAATAAAAACTACAATATTTATTAGTCAATTTTTAATAAATTAGGTGGTAGGTCAACTAAAATATTTACAGATGAATCAAAAAGGCAAGAAAGTACAGGATGTGCTCGAATTACGAATAACGAATTACGAGTTACGAATTACGTCAAACATCATCGTCTTTGGGATTTTTGCTCTATATTTACAGCAGAATGTTTTGCAATAGAACGAGCATTATACTGGTGCGAATTAAATCCAGTAACGAAAGTGGCTATTATCATTGACTCCAAATCCTGTTTACAGGTAATTTCAACTATTGCATATAAATATTACCAAAATTCGCCCCTAAATCTTATAAAAAAGAACCCTGAAAGCTTCAAAGCTTCAAATAAAGATATAATTTTTATATGAGCAAAGGGCCATGCTGGTATAGTCGGTAATGAATGCGTAGATTTAGAAGCGAAAATGGCATGTGATAAGGAGTTAATGAAGGAGGTGCCAGTTTATTTAGATTTAGTAACTATATATAAAAAATTAAAAAAAACTGAGAAGCAAATTATAAAAAATATAGATTCATCTCGAATAATCACTATTTTACTATTCATAAAGAATTGTCTAGGGTAATTTCGCATATTGATATATTTGGATTAAATAAATTCCAGTCTGGGAACATTACAAGGCTGAAATTTTACCATGGGCGCTTCCCTGTCCATATTTTTAAAATTGGCCCACTGGATTCCCCTATATATACGTGTAATAGTTCCTCCACTTCAGATCTTAATCATATTTTTTTCAATTGTTTAAACAATTATAATTCAATTATCCAATTGTATAAAATGCTCATTTATATGAATATATTCCCGCCCTATAATATTACGTACCTACTTGCTCTTGAAAATAAATTAGTTTATATATGTCTCACAAAGTTCCTATCATAAATTAACCTACTAATATAATTCGGTTTTACCTATCATTTTAATAAAGTTTTTGTATTCCTTATTTTGTGGCAAACAGACTTAGTCTAATGCCATTCTCCATCTCTCACTCATTAGTCCAGTCCTTTCAATAAAATTTTTGATTCAAAATTTCTGATATTGTCTTTGATTCACATTTTTTTTTAAACATCTATTTTTAGTAAATTCATAAATGAAGATGAACATATGTTGTTCTATTTAAAAAATAATCGATGACATCATGTACACGAAAGTGATGACATCATTAGTACGTCCAATTGTAGCGTAGATGAAAATAAAAATTGACCTAAGAATGCATTTTGTTAAAATAATGTTTGACCGAAAAATATCGAAATTATTCTAATCTATACATCCTCACTGTATATATTACATAACTCAAAGAAAAGTACGTTAAAAGTATATTCTGTTTTTTTATTTGAACTTGGGTTGGCTGTGAAAGTCAAACATCGCTCACTCTGTATAGGCAGACTGATGATATTGTCATAGTTACTCTAAACGGTATAACTTTGCCACATCGCTTTGCGAATTCATTAAATATTTTAAATTATTTATTTGCATTCTACAAAAACAATATGCGATAAAGGCAATGAACAAAGAAGAAATAAAACGTTTTCTCGATTCGATCAAATTCACATAAAATTTATACAGAAATTAGACATCAAAGAGCATTGGCAAAGTCCAAGACCCAAACAGATGAATTAATTATCATAGAGCATTCAATAAATATTTTTGAAAAAAAGAATCCAAATTAAAATAAGAATTACTAATTTAAAAATGCCTAAAGTTATCAACCAATAACGAAAAATTACTTAAAACTTATTTATATTCTAAAAATTAATACTTCAACCTTGACAATATACAGGGTGATCCGTTAGTGTGAAAAAGTCCAATATCTCCGCCATTATTAGAGATATAAAAAAATATTTTCAAAGAACGGTAGACAACGTTAAACTACATATTTTAAAATTATCTTTGAATATACAGGGTGTTTAATAAATTCCCTCTGGAACACACTTATGTTCTTTTAAATAAATCACCCTGTATTTTATTTTATATTTGAATTTCCTTCACTTTTTTCCCATTCTTAAAATATAAATTATTATTGGTTTATACAGGGTATTTTGCAGGATATAATCAGTTTTGTATGAAAATCGAATTGAATTAAATGACATATATCATGCAAAAGAAACCATTGACAACCAATTTTTTTTACTGCCACAATTTTTTCAATTCGCATCAAATACATAATTTTCTCAATTTTTTTAAATGGTTCACCCTGTATTTTATATCATTCTAAAGTATCCTAATTTAGCTTTAATTTGACTTAAGCATTCCCTATACCAAAAGTTAATAGATTTTAGAGATTTTTAAATTTTAGTCGTAAAAACGATAATTCAGAAAATAATTGATTGGAAATACATTTTATTTATCACTAATAAATAATTGAATTTAACCTAAAGTAAGTATTTATTATTGACTAAGTAAGTTTCTGACAATATGTAATTATACATTTATTAGAAAAAGAAATAAACATTGCAACAACAAACTACAAATGAAACCTACTAAATTTTTTGTTTATTAAACACCCTGTATATTAAAAAATAATTTTAAAATATGTAGCTTAACGCTGTCTACCGTTCTGTGAAAATATTTTTTTATATCTCTAATAATGACGGACATATTGGACTTTTTCACACTAATGGATCCATACTGACTTGCGTTAAGGAAATTTTAAAATATTGTACACAATTATTAAATATATTGGGTAAATATTAAAACAGTGGATAGACGAAATATACTCCGAGAAAAAATATAACATTAGTGTACCTTGATAAAATTTGATCTATCAGAATGAATCTCGGCTTCATCAATGGGTTCATGGACTCAAGAAGGAGTAATTCTTTAAAAATCAAGACTAAAGGGAAAAATTTACCATTTTATATGCAGATTCTAAATTTGTATTTTTAAGAGGATAACTGGTCTTGAAAAGATCAACAGACAAGACCTGACGGTTAAAATTAACTAAACGGTTACAAAAATACCCCTAATTTGTTATAATAATATATTAATCAATATGTAAATCAACAAAACCTTACAAATACTACCAAAAATGAAAATTTATTTTTGAAATGCCACTTTTCCTATCAACAGATATGATATATACACCTACACACATTCTATATCAACATTAATATCTCTCATTAAATTAAAAGCATAATCCGCTGCTTTTTTTACATGAATGAGAGTGGATTAAATTGACTAAGCTAGCACAAAACCGATGCAAAGTGTTTACTCCATTTCTGTCACAGACGACTTGTCATCAATCAATTGTAACAATACCACCCTGATTGTTTCATCTTTTAATTAAATTTGCGTATTGAGCTGAAAGGAACCGCCATAGTAGAGACGGTATTCGCAAAATCACAAGAAAATACCTACTGACAACTTATTTTTATTTTATTTTATTAACTGTAACTTCTAAATATTGCTAAATATTGTAAGTACACCGTGAGAATTTTTTATGCCGTTATAAAAAATTATATTACAACTAAAAGATTTTTGAATTGAAATAGTCAGTCTAGCTTCCTATTCATTGTTATCATGGTCTCTTTTAAAAAATCTTGTTTTATTTTCAGGATTATCTATTTTATACATTACGGTTAAATAGTTACCATTTCTAGGTTATATTACTGAAATTTCAGGATTAGGTTAGGTTAAAAATAATTGAAATGATCTCATCGATTTATGATTGCTTATGTTTAACTTATAGTTCACCCTAAAAGCCACACCTTTTGATGAAGGCCATGGTTAATTAAGTTAAGACTTTTTTAAAATCGATATGATCCAGTCGGATGAATCCGAAGACCTAAAACCGAAGCAAAGAAGGTATAAACAATATGTTTTGCAGATCCATCTTCCACACTGTAGAATCGACAGTCCAATGTTTATTACACTTCTATTCTTCTCATGTCGTTACCTAGACGATAATGTCCTATTATCAGTAGTACCGTGGAATGGTTAGGTATAAACGTCTTTAACCCTTAATTTGACAAGCTTAGATTAATAAGTTTTTTGTGTTAAATATGACCTTTGCTGGTGCATTGAGTGCCATTTTTCGATTAATATTTTACTAATCTCTTAAATATGACATGTACCCTATAATGTACATTACCAAGTTTCTAGATATAATGGATTATTTTATTTTGTGTCCTGTAGGGTACATAGTTAAGACCAGAATTGTAACTAAAAGTAAAACAAAAACAATTATTTAATAAAAAAATGTAATTAAGAGGAAATAAAAAAATAATTCTCAAAATAATGTTAACAATAAAAAAACAATACTGTCTAATTTTCATTATGGAAATTATAGTAGCAGTTTCTCTCTTTAACTAATCACAACCTAACTAAGCATTTAGAACAGGACCAGTGTGTCTTTCCACATTGACAATACCGGCATCTGCTCCTTGTTTCCTAAATTGGAAAATGATCCACTTTATCATAGCGAGTGTCATTGGATGACCTTGGAAGAATAGCAGCTTTTATTTTTTTAACTCCTCTGTCCTCTTCAGAAAATAATTTCTTATTATTTATTTTGCCCTTTGTGTGTAAGTCCTCTGCTATACAATTTCTAAACCATTTTAGACTATGTTCTTTTGAGTTATCCTTAAGGCTTTTTATCTCTACGATACATTAACCAAGCATTATCATTTGCCCAAATATTGAAAGGTACCAGCGGCGTGTATTTAGAGGAATTCTGTATAGGCTAATCAACATGTCCATTAGATCAATTCCACCCATGTGAGAGTTGTAGTATTTTAAAATATTTGGACATGGTATATCAATTCTTCCTTTTTGATTTTGGTCATACCGTTTGATGGTTCTAATAGGTGTAGAAGAGACATACGTACTTGCCAATGTAACTGCTTTGTTGTCAAACTATTTAATAGTAAATATCTTATTAGTGTTATCACTTGCATAAGAAAACGCTCCTCTACCTTTTTTCTTCAACAGTTCGTCTTCTTCCAAAATGCAATTTTTTAGCCGATTTGATCTCATAGTCCCCAGTGCTAAAATCCTGTACTGGTGTCGAAGAGTATAGAACAAATTAAAAACTGAGAAAAAATTGTCGACATATATAACAGAGCCGGAAATTTCATAGACTGCGTTAGAGCCAGAACAACTTTAGCTCCAACGCCGAATGATTCCTCCTTTTCCGAAAAAATATGTTGTCCAAATGTATCATCTCCACCATAGATTATAAAATCGTAAACCAACCCTAAAATACCAGCTCTGACAAATATTTTAAAGCCCCCATTTTTTTGGTTTAGACTTTATATATTGTCTACATGAACCTGCCATTTTGCCGTTGTATGGGACCATCATTTCATCAATGCTCTGTCGTATCTATTCTTCGACATTGATACAATTCCTTCAATTATATCTAAAACAGGTCTTATCCGGTAATACTGATCACTGTTTATATGATCATTATTAGCAAAATATATAAAGTGGCGAATTTGTTGACATTTTTTAAGGGGCATTATTTATGATATTTTGGCATATCTGAAATCGGTGCTCCAAAAGTCTAAGTCTGATGGCATATCTATTATTCCCATCCAAATCTGTATGACTAGAAAGTCTCTAACATAGTCATTAGTAATATTGATAGACTTTTTCTGTTTTTTAAACACTGTACAAATTAGTATTTTCGACAATAAATATAAATAAGTCTTCGGAAAAAAACATCTTGAAATAATTTAATGGCGATTTTATTTCTTCTGGAACTGAAAAGTTAGTCTCCAGTATATTTACGGGATATTCAAATTCTTCTCTGAACCAAATATACTCAACAAGTTTTTCGTTTTTCTTCTTTTTTGTTTTAGTTTTTTTAGGTCTTTGTGTTTTGATCTTGTCTTCACCGGAATTTGGTCTGGTTCAGCTTAGGAGCCTGTATCAGTATCGCATAGTTAATAAATATTTTTTTGTACCTCAGGGGGTAAACTAACTGATTCAGAGCTCTCACTTTCTGCGTCGCTCTCAACTCTATAAGATTCACAATGAAACACGCTATTTTCTTCGTCAGAGGATTCATCCAAATCAGATGATGGGGGCGGAAGTAACGCAAAAATTTTTCGAGATTTGGACGACTGCATTATGTCTTTAAAATTTTAAAACAAAATAATTAACATAACCTTTGAGATAACAAGTTAAAAATACTAAATCACCCAACAGAAACAACGTTTGATATTTAAAAATGTATACTGTTGGATAAAATCCAAAATAGTTTTATTGTTCCGAGTCTATGGCAATGTGAACTATAGGATACATAATAAAACAAAAACTACAAACTGCTGTGACGATGTGAACCATAGTGTACATTTTAACAATAACCCTTTGCTTAACACTTTCACTAGAATTATAACAAAAAAATCAACAATTGACCACAATATTCCATACTACTTAACAACGATTTCTTCAAGGGCGTTTACTCGGCAATCATGTCACAATTAAAATAGGTTATGTAATAATAATAATAATACTCTCCCTAATTCACCCCCTTACGAGTGAATTTTAACCCCAAAAGCTGAGCTTGTGCGATGTTTACACAATCTTTAGTAACCAAGTATCTAATAAATTTCAATACTAAACCTATATATGGGCAACACAATTAACATAACATATTTGGAAAATAATTACAGTGATCTGACTTTTTCGAAGTTTGAAAATTGCGTACCTTATAAGGGACAAAATCAAATTAAGGGTTAAATGAGTCAGTCCTGGAATATCTCTCCACTTCATGAGTGTTCACTTTCTAATTCGAGACAATTTCTTTGTAAGTGTTCTTAGCAATGCCCAGGATTGGTATTGGACCAATAAACTCAGATACCGTTGCATCCTGTAACCCAGATCAAAGTTACTTTATTTCAGACACCAAGACACTTAGGGGTATTTATACAGTTCCAACCCAGCGTTTAGTCAACACGGTTGGAGCTCAGTGTCTTAAGTGTTACTTGGGTAACCGAAAAGATTTGTATAGTCTTGTTAGCTGGAAGAAAATTAATCAACTCTCTCGCTCCCAATTCTATATTTCTACTTCTACTCTATTTTTGATTAGAACAGCGACATAGTCTACCTGGGAGAGTCTTTTATTACCATTGCTCCATACGGCTCTCTCCGGAAAGAGGACGATGTATGACTATTTTATGTACTGTCTAAAACTAGTGAGTCTGCGACCATGTCAAAGATGGGGTGGTTATTAACCCCGGTTTGTCATAGCACAGTTATTTGTTGCATTGACTATTTACTATTAGACAAAAATAAGAGACAATTCTGGCCTTCCTTTTCAGCAAAATGTGAAGAGAGGTTAGATCCAGCATGATCTCCATGACTCCCGTCAATGTGGATGACAATGCTCCAGTGATAGCGACGCACTCAAGCCGCTAGATTTTGACCAGCTTTGCTTTGGCCGTTTATTAAAGTTCCTTGTCCAGCAGACGATCGAGTCGTACGTAACCATAGGTTTTACCACAGTTTGATAAATTCAGTAAATCATTTGGAAACTGATCCTCTGTTCTTTGCCTCATATCCAAAGGGATAATCTGGCTTTATTGTTGATTTTTTCCATTTGGGGTTTCAGGTGAGTTTTTTATAATCCCCAGATATTTCACCTCATTCGTAAAAAGAATGATTTTCTCTGGCAAGGTAGGTTATCGAATGTCCAGGCTCGTTGAGTTTTCTTTTTTCGGTGGAGTGACTATAACAATTTTCTGGTAATTGCCAGACATCTGCTCAGTCCCTCTAGCATATGTTGTTCTTATTAAAAGATGTTGGAGATTACCTCTTCTTACAATTTCAGTATTACTATTAGGATGAAATATTTAACTATTTGAGAAATATTTTTTAATTGTTGTTGAAATAAATTTGTATAAGTGCAAAATGATAGTTTTAGATTATGTATTAATGAATACGATGAATGCTAATTTTATTAAAAAAAAAAACTTTGTAGGAACACACTGATAACTGAGCTCTAAAAAACTTTTTAAGGAATGAAAAAAGAATGGATATTCTCGTAAAAGATGGTACATGCTTTTTTGGGGTAGTAACAAGGTATATGTTTCGTCGTGAGGCCGGTAGGATCCATAAAAAAATTTGTCATTTATATACAAAATAATATTTTCAAAGTTTTAATTGGAAAGTGCTCGAGGTTAAAGTTGTAAAAACTTTTTTTAATCGCCGTTGTCTCCTTATAAAACGAAAACCATTCGTACTGGAAACATGTTTCTTTTCATAAACAATGTTGTTGTCTGGAAGTTTTACTCCAGTCACTTTTTCATTAAAACTTATATATTTGAAGAAATTCATTATTTTCAGAGCATGATTCAAATAAACAAATTCGCCGTGTTTTTGAAAAAAAGGGATAAATAATTTCAATAATTTTGGCCTGTTTAACGGGGTTTTAACTGTATTCTCATTTTTTGGAGGTTTCCAACGATTGTTATACCCCATTCATAATTTTTCTCAATAGTTTCATTTTGGAGACATTTCCTATGTTACTAAGATATGCACAATTTTTATGCATAGTTAGTTTTTAATATCGAACGCCCAAATTATCTAGGAAACGACTTGCACAATTTGGTATTGTCACGAATTGCATTTAAAAATAATTAGATTTTTATTAAAGATAAAATAAAGTACTTTCCAAAAATATATTTCAACTCAAATTTTAATAAAGCCATTTCCAAAAATATAATTTTATTTCAATCTTTTTAATTTCCATTCAATTCCAATTTGTGTTTAATATTACATTTAAAGTTATTTAAAACAATAACAATCTTTTCGTCTAGTAATTAAAAACTTTATTTTATGTTGAAAATAAACAATGCACTCAATTCGGTTATGCTGATTCTACAATTTCAAAACAATGTTGTGGTCAGCTAGCCAAATTGACAAAACAAAAAATAACAACATTTTCGGCACAACCGAGGCTATAAGTTCTTCGGCTGTGACGAAAATCGGCAGTAGGTAATACTCTGCTGTATTACAGCAATAAAAATAAAAATAAAAAATAAAGTCGTGACATTCCAGCTTGCTGTTAAAATATGTGGTAAGGTTTTTTATAAATCTAATAAAAAATAAAATAAAAAAGGTATTTCTGAGAAAAGTAACTAGTTGGTTCTTTAAAGTCTTTGTAGTGTATATATTGTATATTTGGGGTGTATTATTATATTGGGGATTTCTGGACAGTTCAAGGGATTTTAGTTTGTATTTATTAAAGATTTGTAGTTTTTTATGCAGTGACTTTTATTCCTTCCCAAGTAGCGTAAAGCCAAGCCAAGCGTAATAAATCATAAGAAAGGTTCTCCAGTGAGTATTTTCGGGTGGCACAAAGATCTTCCTCAACTGGAAGATCGTTTGAGCGATCCGAAATACGCAGTGGCGTACCCCACGATTAATTGGTTCGCCTAACAAACCACTTAACGTGACATGGTGGAGTTAGCCGTAATCTAAATCCCGCGAATAATTCATCAAAATTATTCTCGTTATTTGTAATTTTTCTTTTTCAATTTTTACCTCTCGCAATATTGATTAAATACGCTGCTCGATAAGGAATAACATTCATAAACAAATATTTTAATATATATATTTTTTTATATTAATAAAGCTTGTTGCTTCTTCAGAAATACAATTTTCAAATAAAATCTTTTTTTTTTATTTTTAAATTACTTTTGACAAAATGTGCTTTTCTTGAATTTTTTGAAATAAAGAGTTCATAATAAAATAGGACAAAGGTGACTTCTTGCGGAGAAAGTTTTATTCTCTCAAATAATTATATTTGTAATAAAGTTTAAAGTTCCCAAGTTGCAGTGCAAACTTATGTGTCGCGTGGACCTGTACTACAACAAGGTGTGAGACAAGCACGAACACATTTGTAGTATACCACAGCAGCGTGTGAGACAAGTACGAACATGCTGTAGTGAACTACAAGGGTGTGAGACACGAACGAACACCTCGTATGTAGGGCAGGGGTACAAGACACGTCAGAAGTTTGCCACTGTATCATAATAAGGCACATAGGAGAGAGCCACAGTGACTCTAGCTTATGGGAATTATAAGATACTAAGCAACACTCGCTTCATTCTCTTCTTGCGTGAGCGTACACAAGGAATGAAACGTTCGAAACCTGGGAAAGCAGAAAGGCTCAGAAGAAGAAACAGGTATCTTCGCTTGTGCAATTTGAGCCCTATTAGAGAACCAAACATTCCGGTGCCTCCATTAACTCCAAGAGTTTTAGGCCCAGCAACACCCCTAGGTTATAAAGAAGTTCATTTTGACTTCGAAAACGTTTCGTTTGAAAGGCCTACAACTCCTGGTAACAACATACCAGAGCTAAATAGAGTTTAAGGGATAATACAAGGTTCTGATTACTTACAAAGCTCCGCAAGAAAGGTCAACAAATTTGGTCCTAAGTACGGACCCTTACCCTAGGTTATTTTGTCATTTTTATTAATTTTTATATATTTGAATACATAGAAATATAACATAAAATACCTATGAGTAACGCCTACCTTATTAAAAACACTACACGCTACACTAACTAAAAATACACTTTAAACTTAAACACAGGCACACTTATTTGTTTCTGATCTCACTAAAAATTGTTGTCTCATATTATTTGCACAAAAAATTGTTTTTTGTATCTCTTCCTACTTGCGGGTCTGGTCGTTGTCTAGACAACAACGCCACAGCCTCTGAGCGTCGTGGAAAACCCAATACCTGCAAAAAGAAAGAGAGATAAAAATTTATTAAAGCAAATAAACATAATTCATGCCTGGACCAGAAACCAGGGCAAAGAAGAAGGTCAACTTAAAGTTACAACTGGTGGATAATTTCGAACCTCCATTGCATAGTACAGGGCTATCTCCCACGGTTTTTGAAAAATCTGGATTAACCCCCAGATCCCCTCTCAGAGGGGCTAAATCCAAGCAAAAATTCAGGTTCGATAAAAAGACCGAATCTGAATCAGAATCTAACAATTCGGATTCAGAAGGGGACTTGGACGTAACTATCAAAGATAGTGCAGGAAACCTCATTTCCAACAAAAAACACTTTGTGCCCGAAACGGACACGCCACCGCAGGAAGAGACTC